GAATTCTGTTTTGTCAATCATAGAAACAAACATATACCATAAAAAAAAACCTTATCTCTCCCTGTAGGGCTGTTGTTGTAATGGTTCTGGTTCACTGAGGCATAAAAGGGTTAAAGATGGACAAGACATGCTCACTGGAGTGGTAATGACAGCTTTTGGTTCTCTCCACCAGCATGAGAGCTGCCAGTGGGTGGCAACGCTCTAAATAGCATAAAACACATGCAATCGCTGACACTCAGAATAAACAGTCTCACAACTACAGCGAGCACGATTAAAGAGTCAAAAAGTTGCTGTGCGTGTTTGCACAAATACAGTAGATACACTCACAAAGTTAAGAATACAGGAACTAAGGACATTTAGTTTCTAAAACCCAAGAGCTCACTTCAATCATCTTTTCAATCATCTTTTTTTTTTTGTCCTTAATGATATTATTCTCCAGGAATCAACAAACAACGGAACAAACGCCTAAAACCCATTGCACCTAATCTGAATTCACTGTTCATGCCTAAAGAGTCCTCCAGGAATGTTGTCAGACATTTGTATAAACTGCAAATGGTCTGACCACACTTCTTCCACTTGGTCGGTTCCACTCTTACCGGCCACAATTGCTTTTCCAAAGGTAATAAGTACTGATTATTTAACAGACATCAGAACTCAGAACATTAAAATGATTGGGGTGGGTAAGGTTTTGTTTTTGAAATATATATATATATATATATATATATATAAATTTAAGTTAATCAACAATAATATTGTGAAATATTATTACAATTTGAAATAGCAGTTTCTATTTGAATATATTTTAAAATGTAATTTATTCCTGTGATGGCAAAGCTGATGTTTCAGTATCAATACTCCAATCCACAGAGTCACAGGATCAGAGTCACTTGTGATATTGATATGTTGCGCAAGACTAATTTCTTTATATATATATATATATACACTGTAAACAATTTGGAGTAGGATTTACTTGAAAAAACCTTGCTAAACGATCTCACTCAGAAAATGCTAGTAAATTTACAAAGATTTGCCAAGTAAAAACCTAAACAAATTTATCAGTAGCTTTAATTAGAAATCTTTAAGTTAAATTTACTTGGAATGTGCATGGAATTAAGTAAACTTTACAAAAAATAAGTAATTTTAACTCGGCTTGTAAAAGGTTGATTAATACCGATTTCCTTTGCCTTTGTATTACATTTCACTAAAACAATTATCTTGAATTTTATTAGTCATTTATAGTATGTTCTTTACTTAGATCATCTAAGTAATTTATATATCATGTCAGACTTTAAGCCTTATGTGAATGCAAACACCTCAATACTTGGTATACAATACACAATGGTGGTAACATTTGATGGATCGTTTTTGTGTTTGAATGTGTCGTTTTAAGCAAAAAATTTACTCGAAATGTCACAAAATGGCAATTTACTAATACTGAAAACAAAAATCAATGATAAAACAGTGTAAATACAGCTGGAAACCAGTGAAAAATGAACCTCATTAATTATTCAAGGTCCAGTGCATGATGGGAACCCCAGTATCAGAAAAGTTGAGTAATTTTTACTTAATTTTATTGAGTTGATATTACACTTTCATTTATACTCGCTTGAAATAAGTACTGATATGGAATTTACTTAGTTTTTTAAATTCTTGCCTGAACTAACTTTTTCAAGTAAATTACATTGGGTTTTTTCACTAGTATTTACTTAACCAAAAATTCATTTTTTACAGTCTATATGAAGAGTTCAGATGCAAAAGCCTCTAAATGCCATTTGAAATTTTTTTCTAGAATGGTCATTTTTTTATCAAGCTTGTATATTTAAGTTAAGTAATTTCACTTAAATGGCAATTAATATGTGATCTTCATTGCCATTTAAATGAAATTACTGAACTTAAATATACAAGCTTGATAAAAATGATCATTTTAGAAGAAAATTTCAAATGGCACTTAGAGGCTTTTGCATCTGAACTCTTCATATATATATATATATATATATATATATATATATATATATATATAATCTTTATTATAAATCTTGAGAGCAGTTGTGCTGTTTACTGAAACCATGATTTTCAGGCTACTTTGATGAATATAAAGTTCAAAAGAACAACATTTATTTGAAATAGAGATCTTTTGTAACATAAAAACTTTGAAAAAAAACTTTTGTAACATGTCTTTACGGCCACTTTCTATCAATTTAATGCATCATTCCTGAATAAAAGTATTCTTAAAACGTGTTTATCCTTAATTCTGGAAGCTGTTTAAACCCAGCGAAGCAATTTTTTTTTTAATCTATTATATTTACATGGATCAGCATTGTATTTTTATTAACAGTTTGATATTAATCATTTGAATGTGTGAACAAATATTTGTTAATCATTCCAATAAATTATTATAAATATTTGAAATGGCTCAAATCATGCAGTGTATTCATTATTGGCTGTACTTAATCAAACTAATAATTCTGACAAACCTGGAAAAACAAAAACAAGTGAATATGGAGTTCTGAGGAGAAAAAAGAAAGACTAGGAGGGGAGAAGTGGGTCTTAGAAACATAACTATACATTTATAATGATAATTCCCATTGAATGAATATAATGAATATAACTAAGCACATTCATGAGTAAACGTCCTTTTTGAGCTTTCTTCGGAGGGTTCTCTAGATTGTAGCAAATGCATCTTAAGCGAACAAATGTAAATGGAAGCTTGAGCGTTAAGTTCTGCCAGGAAGACTCAATCGTTGCGTCACTAATTACCTTCTCATCTATCCAATCGTGTCTAATACTTGCGGTATAAAAGACCAACACTATCTCACGACCAATTCGTACGAATTCGACGCATGATTAAAAAGTGTCTAATTCGTACTAATTCGTACGACCTCACTCGTACTAATTCGTACGATTTGTCTAAACCCACGTGATGGTTAGGTTTAGGGGCGGGGTAAGGGGTAGGTCATTCGTACGAATTCATACGAATTGGCCAATTCGTAAAATATGTACGATTTAGCAAAATCGTATTAATTCGTACGAGTGAGGTCGTATGAATTGTTACGAATTAGCCACTTTTTAATCATTCGTCGAATTAGTACGACTTGGTCGTGAGATCGGGTTGAAAAGACCGGTACCTAACACATGTTTGAGTTCGCAGATGCTGACGCTTTCATTGACCTCCATCTTCTCCACCACCTCCAAGATGGTTCCTTCCCTTACATCCTCCCCACCACCACCGGGATGCTCCCTTCCTATACCTCCCAGGGGGTCGGCTGCACCCCTGCCTTCGTCTTCAGGCAGGAAATGCAGAGTCCGGACCCTCGGATTGCGAGCTATGGACGGGACCTACGCCAAATAACTTAATTGCTTGCTGGGCTATCAATAAATGTATTTATTGTTACAGTATTTATTCTCCCGAGTCTTTCAGGTAGAACTGTTTTAAAGGTATTTCAATTCACCAACGCCTAATTACTAATCTTTCTGTCGTCTTTTCCCTGAAAATGAGAATTTGTCAAAGTGGGAGACAATTAGAGGTAGAGGGAGAGGTTAATACATAAAATGTACACAGACAAACATCCTTTTTGAATGTGCTCACCATTGACTTCATTTGCCTCTACCACAGAGACAGCTAGCAGGTAAATTCAAAGCGGATGAAGGCGACACTCAATCTAAAATAATAATAATAATAATAAATCTGTCTCTTCCTAACTCCCTCTACAAGGTGCCATTGATTGTTATGCTAATAGGTTCCCTCATGCACATGTCTGCAAGACATAAAAGAAGCTGCCAAGGCAATAAAATCACTTTAATTTTCCTTTGACATTTCCCTTCCTCTCATCATCCCAACAGCAAAATCACAGATTCATATGCCAGAGCGAGGCAGCAATCAGATGGGAGCTTTCACACCCGCAACCTCCAAAACTGGAGTTAAACTACAATATATAGCTCTTTTTTATTTATTTTTTTTATCTCGATTTACATATATGCTGGGATACAATTCTGTTTCCAAAAACAGAGTTGATGAGCAATTTGACGCTGGACATTACAAGCCTTTCGCTCAAGGTCCCCGAAGTGCTGAAAATAAATGATGATATTTCAACAAATATCCATTTTCGATTATATTTTTTTATGCAATATTGCGTTTTTTTATTATAAATGATCTATGCAAACCATTATTCTTATTTTTTTTTTTTATTCATGTGCCCTTGTAATCTTGATTTAAAATAACCTTCTCTCGAGACTCCCCTGCTCTTATGTAAATAAGATCCTCACATTGACGTGATTGGTTGCAAAGTATTTTGTGATGTAAGAAATACCAGATTTCAAAACGTGTTTTTGAGTCTTTTTTTTACTGCAGTTAAAGTAGAAAATACTCAGCAATGGTGATGACATGTATTTGCACATTGTTTGTCTTAAAGGATTAGTTTACTTTTGAAAAAAACTTTTGCTGATAATTTACTCACCCCCATGTCATCCAAGATGTCCATGTCTTTCTTTCCTCAGTCGAAAAGAAATTTAGGTTTTTGATGAAAACATTCCAGGATTTTTCTCCATATAATGGACTTCAATGGGAACCGGATGGTTCAAGGTCCGAAAGATAGTGTTAATAACAGTTTCAGATGCAGCTTCAAATGTCTTTAAACGACACCAGACGATGAATAACGGTCTTATCATGTGAAACGATCGGTTATTTCAAAGCTTATTCCAAAAATGTAACTTTTCTAAGGACAAATGCTAGCCTTGTAATATATTGTGAGGCGCGTTTGCAACGTCACGTAATACGTAATTACGTTCAAAAGGTCACGGGCGACGTAGCCAGAACTAGAGTCAGAGTGTTTACAAGTTGAACGCATAGGTTGAACGTGAAAACTAACTCAAACGCCGTTTACAAAAAAGGAATTAAAAGGTAAAACAACGATGTCGGACGATTTTGATTCTGTACTCTACCATAAAGTGGTAAAAAGGGGACTTTAACTTGTTCTTGAAGAGATAACTTCTTAAAAGAATATCAAAATTCTTTAGATCTACGTAATAGTTCATTTATTTAAATGGAACAAATAATGGTAACAGTGCTGTTGACACTCAAGACTTTACTTTGTAAATGTCGTCTTTGTAAATATCCTAAACTAAACTAATAAAAAAATATAGAGGAAAAACAAAAGCAAAATACAAGCATTTCAATATATTTTTCTTTTATCCAATTTGCTAATAAAGCACTTGATGGTCCAGGTCACCCTCCTTTGCGCTGTTAAGGAAAGATGGCCATTAGGCGGTTACAGTTTTATTGCTCATCTGTAATGGTGTCTTCCCTGGGGAGCTGCCATTATAGCGGCAAAAATGGAACCAACACATTCAGCAGTGAACTCACACGCAATTCCATGTGCTGCTCTCTATCATTCCCATTTGCACATGCCATGCAGTCATCTTTCTCCATCTCTCACTATACAGTAGCTCACTCAAAACACAAACACACACACACCCAGCAATGCACACACAGAAACACGCATCATTTTAAAGCTGGGAAATGGGAACAGGATGTTCTTTGGCAGTTGCCAATTGCTTTAAACCACACATAACGATTCAGCCAGACATTTTTTTTTTATACTTATTTATAGAGCAAAAGTTTGAGGAAATGTGTCGATAGGGAACAATCACAAATCCTGAGTGTCTCTGAAAAGTGTAATGTGTCAAGAGCAAATGCCCTGTAAGTATTAAAAACAGCTGGAGAGGACGATGGAAAGATTTCCTGCTGGAAATGAAGAAATGTACGGATGCACAGAAAAGACGATCTGTCTTAAAATCCATGCAGTGCCATTGCAGAAATCAGTTTATTTATATGTTATTTATTGTTTTTTTTGTTTGTTTGTTTTTTTGCACACAGTATGAAGATCCAATGTCATACATAGAAGTAACAAATACCTTTTCTTCTTTAAAAGTATATTTTCTGTTTCATTCACATACGCACACACAGACACACACACATTCTCATAGAGACCCTCAATTACAAATTATTTCAAATTTGTATCTGTCAAGTAAGTTATAGGTGCACTACTTGTCCTTTGTTGACTTAGTTTCATGACATTGTTGTTACATCATTTAACATCTATTTCCTTTCATCAGTCTTTTAGCTTTTGCTCAGGGGATCATTACCATGGCAATGCACTGGCACCGAAATGTTATTGACAGCTGAACAGGCACAATGGTTAACTTTGAAACAAATGATGACAGAAAAAAAGGGGCTGATTGCAACGTAATTCCACAGAATGAGATTTAGAGTTGTACAATTGAAAATGCACAACGGAAAAACAAACCGACAGAGGTAACTTTGTAATTAAAGTGGTGCAAACTTCGAGGAGTCTCCATAGATGATGGCAAGCACTCACTCATGTCCATTGAAGAGTCTTGACAACATCCTGTAATGTTGCTTTTACAGTCATCTTCCCACATATTTTCCAGAGTAATGTGCTCATTATTCGTTGTTGTAGATTTAATGGATTTTAACTGCACTTTTGTCAGACCAGAATTTAAAACATGTCCATTCAAAAGACTTTAGTCCCACACAACAGGCCATTCAATCCCAGTCACATGACTACAGGCATTATCAGGCCATTTTGAGGATCTTTACCGTACATTGTTTCATTTGTGTGCTTTTATCAATTTCCCATAAGAAAACATTTCACATGCGCTAAAAGTCTCTATAACATACACATTGTACATGAAATCTACACATCTTAAAGCTCTTGGAACATTTATAAAGTAAAAATCAAAATCGCAAAATTCAAGATGAATGAATCAGTGTTCATATTTGCACAAGTTCATTCACAAATCCGCCTGAAAACTTATTTTGTATTTATACAAGGGAACAAAAGTTTTGTTAGTGCGTTAATCATGTTAAATAATGTAAATCTTTCTTTTCTGAATTCAAAATTACACAATTTAAACAAAGTACAAAGTACAGTCATTATCATGATAATGTTCATTTTTTTATTTAAAAAAAAAATAGGTTGAGAAAGGGATGAATTGTGGAACAGAAGCCAGAGGAAATGGAAAAGTCAGAAAAGAGCAAAGAAAAGAGAAAAATGAGCAGAGTAATTGTATTAAATGACACATTGACCCTTTCCACTTCCACAGGGGACCAAAGAAAACAAACTGAAGGAGTGAGGGTAGAGCAGAGAAAGAACAAATGAGAAGAAGACTGGGGTAAAGGAGCACACTATTCACGTTTAAGATGTCTGACCTTTGTAAAAAAAGAGTTGAAGAGAGAGACGGCAGTGAATGTGCTGATATACTTTTTAGCGTTCACACATAAAAGACGGCAGGGAGGGGAGGCTTGTTTAAATTAGGGTTTTGACACGGGTTCTGAAGCCATGCGTGAACAAATGAAGTGTGCGTGAGTGCCAAGTAAACACACTCGACAGATCTCGTCGGGCCGATAAAGAGATTCCTCGAGAATGCTGAAACAGAAATACACGCTCGGAAAGAAGACGGGACAATATCACATTTTCTTTTTATCTCATTCACACGCACACAAACAGCCTCCATCTGCCTATGTGTGAGATAAAGAGCCTTGCTGATGATCACTTGGCAATGGCGATCAGACAAAGTGGCCAATATGCTCGCTAATGGCCTGCCACCGAATTCTTTGCACTCCTCTCCTCCCAGACCACCTCTCTCTATATTTTCCCTCCCATCTTCCACACTTCTTCAAGTATGAACACTTAGCAGAGATTTGGTCTTGGCGTAGAATGTAATCGGGAACCATTCCAACATTTCACTGTTGTACTTGTTATTCCTCTAACCAGTGGCAACACAATTGTACACTTGATTCAGTGTCATTTTTATTAGAACCGAAGTATGACACTGAAGAGTAGTTGAGTCAGTGCAGGAGTGAGCTGAGATCTGACAGCTGGGGTGTGAAGAAACTTCAAGGGCTGATGATGAAGAGATTGTCACATGAAGGGCAGGACTTACAGCACAGCCACACAACAGTGTGACGTTTGAGCCAAATTAATAAACAGGAACACAGAAAGCTCTCTTCCAGATCAGCAATGTCAACAACTGTTCTTGTTGTTTTCCACATTGTACATTCCATATTTAAGTCTTTTAAACATTTATTTACATTTTTTTTTTTCACTTCTTCACATTTAAATATTACTTTTTGCACGTTTACTTGCTCTCTCGCTCTTCGCGTGTTGGTCGAATCTTCATTTCTGTGAATTTGAGCGAGTACTGCCACCCGGTCCAGGACGACCACTCGATCCCATCGGCGTAAGAGGTATGCTGTCCGCGCAGGTATTGGCCATTCAGGTTGGAGGTGTGGCAGTTGCGGTACCACCAGGCGCCATGGTAGGACGAAGCGCAGTTGTTCTCTGAATGATCGTTGTCTCTGTCTTTCGTTGTGAACTTCATTCCGTTATGCTTTAGCAACGAATCTCCTGTATATTTCGGCCCATGTAAAAAAAGAAGGGAAAAGAGGATAAAGATAATTAAACTTCTATTCAATAGTTTGAAGTCAGTAAGGGTGTACTCACACTATAGGTGTGAACCATGTGAACCATGCCCAAGCACGATTGACCCCCCCCATTAGTGTGATCTAGGGATGGGACGATAACCGGTTTCACGATAAACCGTGATAAAATGTACTGACGGTTAGTATTATCGTTCAAAATTTAATTATCATTAAAACCGTGTTTGATTATCGCGATTTGAATGACTCACTGAATCCTGTCGGCCAGTCTGACGCAGGCGCGCAGCACGCAGTGTTTTTTTAATTACTATTCGAGAAGGAATGGCGGAACGCAGTGACCGTGCTCAGGAGATTTTTCAGCCTTTTAAGAGGACCAAATCTGAGGTGTGGTCATATTTTGGGTTTTACAAAAGTCCTGAGGGAAACTTGATCGAGGATGGTCACCCTGTCTGCCGAACAAAAAGTCACTGCAATAGAAACACTTCAAATCTGCTGAGTCGTCTTGTGTGATCATCACCTGAACGCAAGGCAAGTTAACTTTGACCTTAATACCAAAACTACGTCTGGGAAACAATTGGGCACGAAATGTTGTTTTGAGTTGAAACATTTTATGTCACTCACTTGAAATAGACGTGAAGCTTCCGCGAAGAAAAGTTTGTAGCAAGTGGATTTGAGCCAAAGACGAACGAACAACTTCAAACAAGACTATTATTAAGAGTGATATTTTAAGGGATAGTAAAGTATAGATACATCACGTATTAAACCGATTTTATTTTTACCACATAATTACAGGGACATATTGAATTGATAATGAGATTAGCTAATGTTTTAAATCTTACCTGTTTATGAATTCATTTTGTAAAACAATCGTCCAGACAAGATACTCACATCACACCAATATTATCAAACTCTGTGAACAATAAATCAACTGAAATACAATGAAAAACCGGAGACGCAAGACGGCAAGTTGTATTTGAATGAAACAAGAGCGCGCGTCCGTTGTGATATGAAAGTGCGCTGTGTAATAATGCGTTGCTATTGACGACGGGCATTATAAAGAAGCAAATGCCATAGAATAGAATCTTGCTTAAAAAACTGCAAAGAGAGACTTGTTTTATTTGTTGTTTGTTGATTTTCAATTATAAAACTTGTTGAAATGTTTTCAGTGTGAGCATTAGTTCTCTTTGAGCACTTTCATAAATTTTTAACAAAACCGTGATAATATTGATAATCACGATTATTTTGGACACTATAATCGTGATATGAAATTTTCATACCGTCCCATCCCTACTGTGATCGCTAACCGCTATGAAGCACGGGACATCAACTACTTTTGTGTACGCTACTGTCATCATTGCGACAGCAAACACACAAACCTCCTTCTTCAAGCATGAAAACTTTGGAAAATGTGGTCTTTTTTCATCATGGTTTCCACAAAAATATTAAGCAGCACAACTGTTTTCAAGATTGATAATAGGAAATATTGTATATTTAAGTTGCAACAGAGCTGACTTGTGTTATTCTCGAAATAACGTTCACCGAAAGTCATTTCACACAAATGACTGCAGCCACCCAGGAACAGACAAGTTAGCATAAAAAAAGCAAACTCCTCTCATCTCTGTGGCCCAGATGAAGGCATTTTCACCATTTTATCTTATTTTGATGTGATTTATGCATATAGTCTCTGCATATAGTTACAGTCTCTCTCATGATTTTTTCCCTTTTTCTCACACTGCTATCCTCATCCTTCAAGGCATCTTTTTGCATCCCTTAAAAAAAGTAGTGATGACTCACTCTGTGTTGAATCATTTTGTTTGTCTCATCAGTGACTTTTTGATAATCCTCTTTCAAGAACTCATGCACAAACACATGGGTAGAGGTGGTACTCCATAATTAGATGTTAGGTGCAGACAAATGTGTTGTGCCAGCCCGATCTCATGAAAGTTCGTATCTATGGCACGAATGTCATTTCTCGTGACATTTATACGCCAAAAACAGTTTTTGCGTGTATATGGCACGCGATTTTCGCGTAAATATGATACGCACTTTTTTGCGTATAATACACACGAACTCCCCACCCCCCTCCCCCCTAAACCTAACCCAGGGTTTTTTAGTGCGTACCATATACACGAAAAAAACAGTTTTGGCGTATAAATGCCACGAGAAATGACACTCGTGGTATAGATACGCATCTTCATGAGACTGTGTTGGTTGTGCTGTTTTTCTAAAAGTGGTCTCAAATAGTTTGGTGGAATGAGACACTCAAAGCTGTCTGGAACATGGAGCTGGACAACCAGTAGTTTGGCTCTTTACATCAGAAGTGGACATATAGTACATATGGGCACTCACTACCTTTAATATAAAGACAACTTCTGCAGTGTAGATATTTGTACAGTAAAGACCCATTTAGGTCGAATAGTCATTGATACGGTAAAGGGATTATTAATTGAAGTCAAACAATATCCACATTTAAGATGTACACTACTATTTAAAAGAAAACATTCACTTTCTAATGTTTTTGAATGAAGTCTTTTGTGCTCACAAATGCTGAATTAATTTGATAAAAACAGTAAAAACTATGGTGGCCGAGAAACCTCAATGACCTGCAACTGAAGAAAATACATGCAAATAGAAAAACTGATACTCCACCCCTGTTAATAGCATAATTGTTTTAGCTATAAACGGGTTGAAGAGTGAGATTCGGTCCCAATACAAAGAAGGTTCTGGCAGTGATTAAAGAAGTTAAAGAGGATTTCTTTCCCTTCACTGAATGAAAGTAAAAATAAGGGGCAGACTCAAACTGCAGATATTTGAAATAAAAATGAATCAATTGACATAGCAAATGAATTTAAATATATTGGTGTAATTTTAGATTAAAATTTTAATTTTAAGTAACACATTAAGAAAATGACTATATATATACACTCACCGGCCACTTTATTAGGTACCCCATGCTAGTAACGGGTTGGACCCCCTTTTGCCTTCAGAACTGCCTCAATTCTTCGTGGCATAGATTCAACAAGGTGCTGGAAGCATTCCTCAGGGAGTTTGGTCCATATTGACATGATGGCATCACACAGTTGCCGCAGATTTGTCGGCTGCACATCCATGATGCGAATCTCCCGTTCCACCACATCCCAAAGATCAGGGGCGCAACTACCCAGTTTCAGAGGGGTATGCAGCAACAATTTTAGCGCCCCCCACCCCCCCCCCCCCCCCAAAAAAAAAAAGGAAAAATAAATGTAATGTAAGTGTGCTGTGTAATAAGTGAGTAGGAAGAAATGAGAGCTAACAGAAAAAAATAAGTGCAAAATTGTCGTTTATTAACACAATTATACTATAGCTACTCCACCTTGATGAACCCCCCCAAAGAAAACTATAAGCTCCAGTGTTTACCAATACCAGTGTTTCTCACAGGATTTTAGGTAAAACTGTGGTAGGTGGACCTCTGTTTCTCTAGGGGGGTTCGGGGGCATGCTCCCCCGTAAGAAAATTTTGTGTTCTGTAATGTTAAATTCAGCAGTCTGGTGCACTTTGAGAGTTCAAAATTAAAAGCTCCAACCCATATTCAGGGTGCAAATTAAACAGAGAAAAATTTGAACCTCTTTTAGTTAGTGTCTGTCTACATTACACTACTAGGCCTACATAATAGTTATAATATTAATCCCATGATAGTAATAGCCATAAAGGCTATTGTAAAACAAATGCACAGAAAAATAAAGGAAACTTTCATAATTAGTTTTGCACTAATTTCTATACTTGAAAGATATAAGCGCATGAAAGATATAAGCGCATTTCATGGGCCAGTGTGTCAGAAAAAAAAACTAAAGCTGACTTTTTTTGACCAATGCATTACAGCACAGCGCCGCCAATTAAGCAAAAAACAAAACAAACAACAAACAACAAACAAATGGGCCGCCGATGTATGAGTTTTGTGGGCCGTTAAAACAAATAAATTAAAAAAGGATGAAATGTATTGGCTGAAAAGCACGTCGGCCCAGCGGGAATCTCCCGGTAGTCCCGATGTCCATGCCTGGATGTCACATTTTAAATCCTACCTGTTGGCTTTCAGCAATGCATGCAGTTATTTAGCTGCTGTCCCATCAGTTGACATGCCATCTCCTTTTCTCTCTTTCTTTTTCTATTTTTAGCCCCACAGCATTTTGTTTTATCCATCTTTTTCGACGACAACTCCTGCTCGCTCAGCGCTCACGGCGCCCCCGCCCGCTCGCGATATTACCCGCTCCCCTTCTCCATGAGGGCGCCTACTCTAGCCTGGCTGTTAGTCCTCTAAAATTTTATATAACATTGAAGGAATGCAGAAATTAGATTTTCTAGATTTAGAAACGCACAACGGCAGCTACATATAGAAATACAATATAGCCTATATAATTTATTTATTTTTTTTTACCATCGCTTTGGCGCCCCCCATTGTGCTGCGCCCCTATGCGCCGCATATAGCGCATACCCACTTTTTGCGCCACTGCCAAAGATGCTCTATTGGATTGAGATCTGGTGACTGTGGAGGCCATTTGAGTACAGCGAACTCATTGTCATGTTCAAGAAACCAGTCTGAGATGATTCCAGCTTTATGACATGGCGCATTATCCTGCTGAAAGTAGCCATCAGAAGTTGAGTACATTGTGGTCATAAAGGGATGGACATGGTCAGCAACAATACTCAGGTAGGCTGTGGCGTTGCAACGATGCTCAATTGGTACCAAGGGGCCCAAAGAGTGCCAAGAAAATATTCCCCACACCATGACACCACCACCACCAGCCTGAACCGTTGATACAAGGCAGGATGGATCCATGCTTTCATGTTGTAGACGCCAAATTCTGACCCTACCATCCGAATGTCGCAGCAGAAATCGAGACTCATCAGACCAGGCAACGTTTTTCCAATCTTCTATTGTCCAATTTCGATGAGCTTGTGCAAATTGTAGCCTCAGTTTCCTGTTCTTAGCTGAAAGGAGTGGCACCCGGTGTGGTCTTCTGCTGCTGTAGCCCATCTGCCTCAAAGTTCGACGTACTGTGCGTTCAGAGATGCTCTTCTGCCCACCTTGGTTGTAACGGGTGGTTATTTGAGTCACTGTTGCCCTTCTATCAGCTCGAACCAGTCTGGCCATTCTCCTCTGACCTCTGGCATCAACAAGGCATTTCCGCCCACAGAACTGCCGCTCACTGGATGTTTTTTCTTTTTCGGACCATTCTCTGTAAACCCTAGAGATGGTTGTGCGTGAAAATCCCAGTAGATTAGCAGTTTCTGAAATACTCAGACCAGCCCTTCTGGCACCAACAATCATGCCACGTTCAAAGTCACTCAAATCACCTTTCTTCCCCATACTGATGCTCGGTTTGAACTGCAGGAGATTGTCTTGACCATGTCTACATGCCTAAATGCACTGAGTTGCCGCCATGTGATTGGCTGCTTAGAAATTAAGTGTTAACGAGCAGTTGGACAGGTGTACCTAATAAAGTGGCCGGTGAGTGTATATATATATATATATATATATATATATATATATATATATTAGGGATGGGACGATAACCGGTTTCACGATAAACCGTGATAAAATGTACTGACGGTTAGTATTATCGTTTAAAATTTAATTATCATTAAAACCGTGTTTGATTATCGTGATTTTAATAACTAACTGAATCCTGTCGGCCAGTCTGACGCAGGCGCGCAGCACGCAATATTTTTTTTAATTACTATTCGAGAAGGAATGGTGGAAGGCAGTGACCGTGCTCAGGAGATTTTTCAGCCTTTTAAGAGGACCAAATCTGAGGTGTGGTCATTTTGGGTTTTACAAAAAACTATTAAAAATAACTTTTGGAAATAACAATCACAATCCTGGACAGTGAGTGAGCTTACACATTAAGATAATATCGGATTTTCTCCAGTCATTGTTAAAAAACAAGCTAACAATCCTTGCTAACTAGCGTTAGTGAAGCGGCCAGACGGATCGTTTTGCCTCCACCTAAGCTCCGCCCACAAAAAAACGTCACCATGTTTACCAACTGTAAAAGGGTCTATAGAATCTTGCTTAAAAACTGCATAGAGAGGCTTGTTTTATTTGTTGTTTGTTGATTTTCAATTATAAAACTTGTTGAAATGTTTTCAGTGTGAGCATCAGTTCTTTTTGAGCACTTTCATACATTTTTAACAAAACCGTAATAATATTGATAATCACGATTATTTTGGACACTATAATCGTGATATGAAATTTTCATACCGTCCCATCCCTAATATACATATTTCACTGATCCCTCCTGTACTCATATTTTTTTTACATTGTTGTATCATACAGAAAATCTCCCCACAACCCAGTTTTAAAACCCATGGTGTAAAACACAATGGCATAAAGCACACAGTGGCATTATGTATTATTATATTTTCAAACCATTTCCAAAATATTCTACTGATATTCATTGCCTATTCTGTACACAGAGAGTGAAAGCATGCAATTAAATGATTAAACCCTCACCCATAATTTGTATTTTAGTAAATGGGACTGAATGACCTACAGTGGTACGGTATAAACATCAGTTAAGCATGCATATCTCTGAATGAGAATAGCGTGAACGTGTTGCATTTTTGTTAGTTTAAGAAGTATAGAATATTTGTATCTTGTAGCTTCTCTTTGTTTCTGCCACTCTGCCAGGCAAGTATCTCGAGATCCAAAATACTTCAGACCTGAATCTAAAGCATCTACGAGTCAGTGGGGCAAGAGCGTTAAAAGGGTCATGTGTGGATCAATGACAATTCGTCCTCTCCCATGAAGTGTCTTTTAGTGTCAGTTTTATCTGATGGCAAAAGGCACTTGGTGTTGTAGGCCAACAGAAACAAACCTTCCCTATTTCCACATCTGAAAAGGAAATTTGGAAAGCCATCCTGCCTGCTGTCCACTTCACTGGATTTTTTGGTAGAAGGGAAGAGTGGTGATGTGTCTGTTGCCCTATAAACTGTTTCCATCAGCTGAACACGAAAAGAGAACATATTCCAAACAAGAGCTAGAACACAATATTCCATGGAGATAGGAGACAGGAAGAAAAAGAAAGTGCACCAGGATGAGTACAATAGAGGTAAATGTCAGGTGGTATTTCCAAACCTCTCTGGGATTCGTTCAGAACCATTTTATGTTTAACCTTTCATCCAGCCTAAAATACAGTGGATGATCCACAGAAGAGGAAAATGCTTCCAGAATGAAAGCGCTAAACCTTCCTTTCTCTTCTCTAAAAGCTCATGACCTTGAAGATCTTCAATATTCTGTTCTACAATCAGTTTTACTCAATAACGTCAAAGACAATACATTGAAAAACTGATCCCAGACCAGGGCTCAATTTCCCCATGGAAACACATGTCATTCAAGCTTGACAGATTTTGTCTGCAGCAATGGGAATGAGCCATTAGTCACACTAGGGTCACATGAGCCTACAGAAAATGCTTGTATTGCTGCCGATGACATTTCTGCATTACGAGTGTTATACCCAGACATGTCCTTGCAAACTCTCTGATTAGGTCACCTGCTCTTGGGAATCACTTTTGATTTGTCGAGGGGATATTATCATCTCAAAAAGCCTTCAGGTGATGTGGCAATACCATGCTAGACTCTCTAAAAAGGCTCTGTATAAATGTGTAAGCTGCATAAAACATACAGTAGGTTTGCAAACTTAAACTTGGTGCTCACATGCCAGGGTGAATAAGGAGTCACCTTGACACGGTCTGTATTTTGAGACGTATTAGGGCCCACCAGGCCGTTCTAGAGCACAATTGCCTGTCAAAATTTCATGCAAATGATCAAAATAAAACTCTCAACACTGTGATTAGGGAGACCTGTCAGGCAGCAAACAGGAAACCCAGCAGCTCAAGGGCATGAAGACTGCCCAGCAGAGGACTCCTGCTCACTTGACACCAGAACCACAGACATGATCCAATTCAAGCCTGCATATATACATGCTGTCCAGACAGGAGATCTCTCACCTCTCTCTTTTACACTCTCTCTTAGGTGTTTTTTCTTCGGCTTCTTCCCTTGAGTTCAAACTCAGAATTCTCTTTCTATTTCTGTTCATCCTGCTGCTCACTTGTTTCTTACCAGACTCAGAGTCAAAGATATTAATCGACTAAGTCAATGATAGTAATCGACTAGAAGGTATTTTGTTTTTTGGATGTGTGTGTGTAATTGTTAGACTGGGAATACAGTAATAACAATTTTTATGATTAAGCGAAAAATGAACCTTTGGTCTAATAAAACCTTGGTACCTTGTCAACCGTTCTCTGAGATTTGTTTTCATGATAATCGATTGTAAAGAGTTTTATCTCTAAACGTTTAACGTTAGTATATGGGGGCATATAATAAGTAAAAAGAAATAGCTAGTTAATACCACTAACAAGGCTCAAAATTGCTCCACAGTAACACAGTAACATAATGAGGGTCCCTACGTACAAAACGAAGATATTGCTTGATGCTGCAATATATATATATATATATATATATATATATATATATATATATTTTTATCTACAAGAGTCTTCTAGGATAGAATGAATGGGTGGATATTCCGGAGCGACTTGGCATGTCTGACTGACCATTGGCCATCTTGGTTTGGAGGGGAAAATATCAAAACACAATGGCTTACAACTTGGTTGCAATGTATAGGATGATGAACCAGGATCCACTGAAGAGATTGGCATACGTCGTTGCCATCAAAACCCTTGCAAATTCAAGAAAATGCTTTTTAAATGGCTGTCCACTGTAATGACCACTATGCGTGAAAGGGTTATTTTACTGTGTTAGTGTAGAGCAATTTTGAGCCTTGTTAGTGGTATTAACTAGCGATTTTTTTTTTTTTTACTTATTATATGCCCCATATACTAGTGTTATACGCTAAACAGTTTTTAGAGATAAAACTCTTTACATTCAATTATCATGAAAACAAATCTCAGAGAACGATTGACTAGGTACCAATGTGTTATTAGACCAAAGGTTCATTTTGCGCTGGAGTTCTCCTTAAATAATGAATGATTGTTAAAATAATTTTTACTCAAACGCTGCAATAAAAATTACTTGACATGTGAATGAGTCTGTTTGCAGTCTGTTTTGAATGTGATGGGATAAAAAGACTGTATCACAAAAGAATGACAAGAAATATCTTTCTAATACTACTTTCTACTAGCAGACTGCATGCAAAAACAACATTCAATGTGACCATTGTGGTCCGATTCACAAACAAATGATACTTATGGGTGGGTTCGTCTCAATGAATAAACAACAGAGTGTGACCAGTTTAGTCAAGATCAAAATCAGATGACTGTTATGAGCAGTTCGTTTTAGTGAAATCAAAAAGACACATTGTGACAAGTATAATCTTATTCATGAAATCACTCAAGCGAGTAGGTTCAAATCAATGAGTTTTTCAAAAGTAATCAATTCTGAATCAAATCAAGAGCTTGTGAATCAGAATCAAATTGTATTAACAAATCCGTATTGATACCCGGTCTTAGTGGTTGTTTATGTGGTGAATTTGCAGAGGAAGTGTAATATATGCTATGCTTTCAGCTGATGACTAAAGAGTGATTCAAGTGCCATGATTATTCTTTCAATACCATCAAGCACTGAAATGGACCAATTATCTGAATGAATAAGCAATTATTACTGTTGACATATATTTAATCTTGCTAACTGATTTGCATACCAGGTTCAGTTAGTTGAATATTAAGCATGTGATTTAAACAAGGTATTCTAATTGCACAGTATTGAAAATACTGACCCAGGGTCTGTAGTTTTATGTTTAATGTGTAAATATGTATGTGTACCTGCAGTGCCGGTGTAATCAGCAATGGTGAGGGGGTAACCATCATCCTCAGGATCAACAGAAAACAGCCCGACTCCAAAAACACCATACTGCGCAAAAGCTGTGCTGTTCTCAAAGTCTTCAAGATCTATGCGTAATTCGTAGTTTCCTTGGATAGAGAGAGCATGGATCTGTTTCAAACCTGATGAGAGAAAGAGAGAAAGACCAATTCATTTTGAGATTATTTTTACTCATAGAAAGTGTAATTGGATTATGAAGGTAACATGAATTGGGGCAGTGAATCAAGTAAAATTAATTAATTGCACAGATTTCTGTAATTATATATTTACACATTGAATCTCCAACTAAATGTAGAATCAGTAGTATATTTTAGTAGTAATAACTGTATATTTTGTAGTAGCCTATATTAAAAATAATATTTGTCAAGTATTATCAAGTACTGACAGGGATATATTGCCATACCATTCTTAAATGTATATTTTCTTATGTTTTTGAAAATAAAATGGCACAATGATTCAACAACATATTTTAATACTTTTAAAATTTAGTAGCACACTGCAAATTATCCGACTACTGTTTTGTTTATCCTTTAAAACAATTACAGAATCAATCTAATAATTTAAATAAATTTACAAAAATCATTGCATAATCCCATTATAATAAAATTCTCATTTAGCTTTGCCTTTATTTGTGAGAAATAACAGATGATGTTTCTGTCTGTCATTACCCTTTCTGCTCTACTTTTTAAATTAGGCATATCAGATAATTTGGTTTCACTTCAAATCTTTTCTAACTGTTTATTTGTTGAATGCGCCATGTCATAAAATGACTAGTGAAACATTATGGGCCATATTTACAAAACAGGGCAAATTAGCATGATAGCACAATTCCGAGAAAAAGAAAAAAAAAAACACTAGAGGAACTGGAAAGTTTTGAGAGTGATCTACGGACAATGCGGAAATTAAAGAACACGGCTGTAACGGCCCTCAGAGCAGTTACTATGGTTTCAAGTTCCAATACCATGCTCCAAGGGGCTCTCCAGACTCTGGAAATGATGACTTGGCTGTGCTGCCTCCCTCTGGGAGACCAGCATTGCCTGAGCCGGATCCAGAAATGGCAGCTATGCTAAAAAAGGCCACTGAGGCGGTAGGGTTCGGATAGAACCCTCGACTGTGTCCCAAACCGTTTCGGTTGGATGATTGGTTTATCGGAGCAGGGTGGTCTGGTTCTCAGGCTGCCGCTCTGGTACCTTTCTTTCCTGAAGTGCTTGAGGAATTGACGGGGGCGTGGATGCCACTTTTCTCTGCCAGAAACTGCCTGAGCAGCTCCTCCCCCCTCACTACCCTTGATGAGGAAGCAGCAAAGGGTAACGAGGCTATCCCTCCAGTTTAGTGGTCTGTTGAGATGTAACTGTTGTCCGGCGACCGCTACCTCATGGAAGGGGGATCCTAGTCTCCCTTCTAAGTACTTCCTTCTCTCAGAGGGAACAGGTGGTGAGCCTGCAAGCTCTGCAGACCGAGCCCTGGCTTTCTCTGTCCATCCACTACATTGCAACACAAGCCTTAGTACCTTAGATCAGCTCTAAACTGTTAAGGAAATCAGCAGAGAGGTAAGGCTGTTTCCAAGTGAGGTTGGCCCACTGAAATGTGGCTGCCTTGATCTTGGTGAAATGCCCGAGATGCACATGTCCAGGTGGTGAGCTCCTCTTAAATGAGTGTGTGCTCCCACCCAGGCATTGAAACAGAGTGCTTCACTGACAGATATTTTAGAGTTGGTGGCTGGGCGACAACTTAATTGAACCGCTGCTTGCCGTGGGCTCCCTTCACATGAAGCCAGTTTCACTGTAAGCCTGGTTAGTTGTGTCGGCTTGCTGTACCATTCTCCCTCCTATGGACTGGATATGTGCATAAATTTTTGCTCCAGTTGAATTGCCCTTATTAACCGAACCCTGTCGAGTTCCTCTATACCCTTCGACAACGGATGTGGCGGAACGTCCGACGCCAGGCCTATCACTCGTATACACTGGTGGAACCTGAGTGAGGCTGGGTCAATATGCAGTGATCCCTACGGCGATTACATGTGTGTATTCTTCCACGTTACGGCTCCATGCGGCGAGCCTATGTCTTCCCTTAGCAGAGCCTGCTCTGCCGTCACTGTCCGATTGAGTCTCCCTCTGTCTTAGGCTGGAGCTACCACAATGACATTCCATATGTTGTACTGCCCGGTCATCCCCCCAAGTTCATAAGTGTATTCTCCATGTTACCTCCCTTCGGGCAGAATGTGGCTTACACCTTCTTCGTCCCTTCCTTCTTTGTTCAGAGAATGCTTTCCCAGTGGTCCTGAAGGAAAAGCAGTGACTTCCACCTTAAATTCCAGGGGGATGTAACCCTCGTTCCCTGAAGGGAAAGGGGATCCACTTCTGTATTTAAACCCGCAACGTGGGGGTGGAGTGTGTGATGCATTTCACAGAGACCAATTCATTGGCTCGTTTTAATAGTACTCGAAGATGACAGGCTCTTGAAAATGTCTCCGTTCTCTCCCTTAAGGGAACGAGGGTTACATACGTAACCGAGACTTTTTAAGCTCATCCAAGTGTTTTGTTAATTTTGTGGTATTAATATATTTCTTTGGTGGGTTTTGTCTTATTTCAGTCATTTCATGTGATTATGTTTGGTGCTAATGTGAGCCTGTATGTTTTTATTTAGAAGGACTTCTCGTACATCATTCATCCACTATGTTTATCTACTGGGTTAAAACATCGTCCATTATGCTGTCCTCTTTCATATTCCTGAGTTATGCCAATATTGGATAAATTGAATCAACTGATAACAGATGTTTGAGTGCTGCAAGGACACTGTTATTGCAACATACCCTAAACTGAAGCCTGAATGCAAAATTATTTAATGGACTGTTCGCTCCTTTCTTGTTTAACAAGCACCATTCTCAAAGACACTTAAAGGAAAGCCATTTTTTGGACAAGATAAGCTCAGTTTATTATATCTTTATTCAACATGACAACAAAGAAAACATACATCCAGCTCATCTTCATATAGTGACTCTCGGTTTTGTGTGGAATATTTGATATAAACACTTCTGCAACTACTTCTGTGTTTGGACTTGAGTGTTTCTGAGTCTAGTTATATCCATTATAGTAAAGAGTGTCCTCTCTTATAAATTTATGTGTGATGTGCCCTTCCGAGAGTTCTCAGTTGGACAGTTACACAGCAATCAAGAGTAGTGCAAATGAGTGTCTGGTTTAACCTCCTACGACCTTGCGTTCACAAACGTGGACATCAAATTTTTGATTGTGTGCAGCATAATACTTAATTCTGTGTAACTGGAACATGTTTTTCACAAACGACACTTAAACTTTTCACTTGGCGTCAGAAAGGAAAAAAAAAATATATATAAATAAATTAACCGTATGGGGTCTAAGGTGTTTTTGGGGTCCTTGAGATGTTTTGAGATGCCCTGACATTTGTGCTTTTTTTTACTCACAGCTCATATTAGAACGCAAATGATGTGAAGCAACACATAAAGACATGTAAAAGCCCACATAAACACGGTCAAATTTAAAAGTTTATCTTTACATATTTCTTAACTCTGTATTAGGGCTGTCAAACGATTAATCGCGATTAATCACATCCACAATAAAAGTTTGTGTTTACATAACATATGTGGGTGCACTGTGTGTATATATATATATATATATATATATATATATAAAAATAGTATTTATATATAAAACATTTATATTAATATATAAGAAAATATTTCTATATTGTTCATAGAAATTATATATATTATTTATTATTATATATTATTTCTATTTCTTTTATTTTATATAAAATAATTATACACAGTGCACCCATATACTGTATATTATGTAAACACAAACTTTTATTTTCGTTGCGATTAATTGCGATTAATCGTTTGACAGCCCTACTCTGTATGACCAGAAATGATGGAGTACTTTAAGACTATTCTTCTGCTATGTGAAAAAAAAATCTGCCAAAACACGTCGCCGCGTTTGCCGACTTCAAGGGGTTAAAGTAGGAGGAGAAAACAGGTCACATGTCACGCAGCCACTCCATACCAAAACGTTCACAAGAGTGTTACAAAAAAAAAAAAAAAAAAGCAAAAAAGTTTTTTGGATGTGTTTTTTTATTTATATATTATATATTATATATTATTGATGTTATATTTCATTGTGTTTTTCCATATCAATGTTCAGAAGTTATACATGCAAGAATAACAAAAAAAAAAAAAAAATCAGGCATAGTGTTAAGGCTGTAAATAAAAGATACACCCTCCCTTACACCTGTGTGGCTTAATCATTGAGATTCATTTTGATCAATTAAGTACAGCCAAATACAGACTGCAATGCTCAAACAGCATGAGCATATAACAGCAGGAAGTGTGGGAAAAATGTCTTAGACAGCGGAAAAACAAAGGCTGCATAAATTATGTTATTTATATCTAACGTTACACAGCCGATATTAAATCACAAAAATCCCCCGTCCCAGGTTAAATGTGTAGTTCGTTCTCACTCTGTGTGGCTTGCATATAAAACAATATAATAAGACACTGAAATGCTCAAACATCTATTACTATGCAGAGCAAATGCATACTTTAAAAATTCATACACGACTACTATACATTAAAGCTGCATGTAAAACAACCAGGTCTTAGGGAAGATTTGCTCTTTTTATATTTTGTTGTTTTTGCATCATATTTCCAGCACTAGACCCACAACCACCTGATGTTTGTGGGTCTAGTGCACCATCCTCACATATAAACACTGAGCTGAATTTTCAAAATTAATTTGACATGTATGGCACAGTGCAATGACAAATATATAAGTATACACACAACAAAAGGGACAAAATGGATAAAATAAAAGCAGAATGAATGAAAAATGGGGGAAACAGCAGCTTTGAGACCTGCTTCTATGAGTGCATACAAAACTTGAGCCTTTTTTGCTTTATGCTAAATAAATAAATAAATAAAATGATTTATTTTTAAAAAGAGGAAAAGAAACCTGCTACTTTCACATGCAATTTACATAAATTTAATTCAGGCTTAATTAAAACCCTCGAGATTCTTCCTCGTTTGGAATAATTAAACATTAGGAGTATTTTATGCCCTTCTTGCTTTTCTACCAAAAAAAGATATGTCTGT